CTTTCGGAGCCGTAATCGAATCACAGGGAAAGAGAAAGTGTTCGGACGTTCCTTTGACACAGTGACCTTGTGTGAGCCCGAACCGGGCACACCCCCGACACCCTACCCGCAGACAACAACACGCCCCCCCGCCCCGCCCCAGCCCACCACCCCCGGGTGCGCGGCCAGGGTCCCAGAGGGTGTCTGTTCCCTGCGCCTCCACCCGGCAGTCCCTCTCCCAGCTTCCAAAAGGCTCAGCCAGCCCGGCTGGGCAGCGGCCAGACCTCACACCCCTTCCCCACACCCGGGGCAGGCACGGTGTCAGGAAGGAGCCCCTGCAGGTTGACCAGGTCACCTTGTGGGGCTAGGCTGTGTGGTAGGAGATGGGCTACTTGGGGTCCTTCAGGGGTGAAAGATCCCCTCCCTCAGGCTCTCCTCCTCACCCTCTGAGATTGGCCTGGGATCAGATCGGCTAGAGGCTAGATTCAATTAAACAAATCTTTATTAAACACCTATAATAAAATCCAGTGCCAGCCTCTAAAAACCTGGGATAGGACCAAGAAGACCATGAACAAAATATGTTGACCCCTGCCCTTGGAGAGCAGATATTGGGAAGGGGGGGCAATAAATAATAAGCGAAGAATCAAGAATCTAGACCAGCACTGTCCATGGAAATAGAAGGGAAGACACATATGTGAGCTTTTCTGGTAGCCATATTAAAATGGTAAAAAAGAAATACGTGAAATGACCTTGAATAATATATTGCATTTAAGGCAATATGCCCAAATATTATCATTTCAACATATAATCAATATACACAAAAATTAGTGTTTCTATGTGTGAGGGTTTTTTTGGTTTTTTTATCCCAAGTCTTGGAAATCCAGAGGACTTCAGACTTCCCGCACATCTCAATTCAGACTCAGCCCATTTCAGGTGCTCAGTTGCTACCTGTGTCTGATGGCAACAGGAATGGGCAGCACTGCCTAGATGTCCGATAAGGGGTATGGAATAAAAAAAGTAGAGCAAGGTAAGGGGGTGGGGAGCGAGGGTGGGGGAGGGGCGGGAGTCAGAGCACTGAGACCTGGCGCATTCTCAATCCAAGTCACCTGACCTTGCTGAACCCCAATTTCCTCATCTACAAAATAGAGACAGGAATCCTCCCGTGTGGATAGGAGTAATGAGCACTCATTAAATGTTCTTTTGGTCCCCACCCCTCCAGCTGTCTGTACTAGCGGCCAGCGAGTTTGCACAGGCTCCCAATCTCAGAGTCACACCCCTCCACCCCCAACACTTACTGGCCACCAAAGGTGGCTTCCTTCCCACCCCACCCCCAGTCCCTCCACCTTGTATCTATCTCTACCCCTTGCTATAGCAAGATGACTTAACCTCTCTGGACCCTGCTGTCACGGTGGGAGGGATACTTGGAGCTCCGGAAAGTATTGTGGACTTCAGGGGACCAGCCACGACTTAAGCTGAACCCAGGCCAATGCCAAGGCAGGTGGGGGTGGCACCAGGTGCCAACTTCATCATACTGGGAAGGTGAATTCCATCTTTGAGAACTAGTAGAAGAATTTCTGCCGGAGAAAGACATCCTGCTCCCCAAACCTCCCACCAAGGGTAAAAGTGCCACAAAAAGAGACGCATAGGAGTCGTGGGCAGAGCCCAGGAGCAGGGGTTGAGGAGAGAGGGCCCCAAGCCCCTGGGGTTGCTGCGGGAGGGGTTCTGGATCACCTTTATACACCCCACCTTCAGGGCAGGTAGGCCAGCAGGCCAGCAGGCCCACAAGCCTAAGTGAAGGCCAGGATCAACAATTAGCCCCTTCCTGGGGGACTCCATGGCTGGGAAGAGGCCCCAGCAAGGCACGAAGTGGGGGATGGGAGCAGGCCCAGAAGTGGCACAGACAAAGGAGGCAGCAGGGTCTGGGCTTGGGATGCAGACCGCCCTCGCCCCTCACCCCACCCCACCCCACCCCCAAAGCCTGGGAATTGGCAGGGCACCCTGGATGGTGACCCAGAAACCTGGCTGTCAGCAGCTCCTGCCTGGCACTGCCCACATCGAGCTCCATTGCTTCCCGCAGGAGTCCCTGGCAGCTGCCAGTGGGGCAAGTCCTTGGATTTTCTCTGCCCACCGGCTCCCTCCTCTACCCCTAGAGACTCACCCCAGACTCTCTAAGGTGGCCCAGATCCTAGTCTCTGTATTTCCTGTCATCCAGACCTCAGAGTGGGGAAAGGGGAGGGGATGTCCAAGCCTAGGTTTACCCTCAGACTGACACTGCCCACCAGGGCCATTCAGGTATTCTAGTCCCGGCGGACCACCGACCCCCTAGTGGCTGGGTTCCTAGAAAGTAAGAAAGAATGTCAGAACACAAAGAAGAGCGCCACTCAATTCGCGGTCAAGACTGGGCCTAGGAGGACCTACGACCCCCAGGCCTCATGGGGTGGGAGAGAGGCCTGAAGGCTGGGTGAGCAGGGAGTAATGAGGTTTAAGCCGGCGGGGAGGGGAGCCGACCAGGCCCGTCCGTCCCCGCCGCCATCTCCTAGCCAGATTCCAGACCAGCAGGCTCGCCCTGCTCCGCCCGCCTCCCTCCTCCTCCGCCCTCCCGCCAGTGGCTACCTCCCCTCCCCCAGCCCGCTTCTCTCCCCTCCCCCAGCTACCCACTTCCTCCGCCCCTCCCCCAGCCCCTTTGGCTCTCATTCATCCATCCATTCACCAAACTTGTGCTGAGCGCCAAGGCCCCCTTAGGCCCTGGTGCGAGGCTCGCGGGTGGGGAGAAGAACAAAACAAAGCCCTGGAGGATTCCGACAAATCCCGGGCCTGGTGTTGGCTCCTCCCCTCACCCCCAGCCCACCTCCTCCTCAACCCAGGCCCCCCGCCCTTCGACCTCCACCCTGCTCGCCTTTCTCTCCTCAGACTCTGGCCCGCCTGTGGGGCCGTGAGCCCAGCCCAGGCATCCCACGTGCTGCTGGGATCAGGCGGGTAGCACGTCCCCCTGCCTATCCCCACTATGGAGACCCCAGAGCCATGCTCTCAGCCCTGAGAAAGGTTCAGGGTGGTCTGGGGGGGACAGAGCACTGGGGGACCCAGGACATATGCCAAGTGGAGCCGCAGGACCCAGCTGGGACCCCTGCAAGCCCAGAGCTCGGGTAGGAGGGAAACTCCCCAAAACAAGCGGTGGAGGGTAGTCACTCTTGAAGGCTTCAGGGGTCATATTCCCCTTCCGCAGCCCCAGCATTTAGTGAAGGAATAGACACAAGAGAAACAACAAGTTAAAGACCACAAGAGATTCTCCTGAACCCTCGGGGCATGTTCCCAAAAGAGTGTGACGAAGGTGAGAGCAGGTGGCTAAAGCTACAGGCCTTGGGTCCCCAAGTACTAGAGTTGGTTAATGAACTGACATGGACATCCAACCCCAGAGGGCATGTGGCCTGGAGAGAAACCCAGCCCGGGGCCTCAAGCGGGACTCCAGAACGCACTCCAGCCCCCAGAGAACAGGGTGCCTTCAGGCCCCAGAGAACAGGGTCCCAGGCCCGCAGTCGCTGCCCTAACGCTTCCTTCCACTGGCTCGCACGGTTGGGGCTTTCACAGACTATGGGGCTTTAAAGTGTGTGCATTTTCAGCCGTTCCTGTTTGGGGCCCTGTATCTGCAGAGCCTGCTGCACGTGGACATTGTCAGGTAGCTCCTTTAAGTCTTACACTCACGCACAGCATGCTCTGGAGAGCTGCCACCCCTGCCCAGCCACCAGCAAGCCACCCAGCCGGTCCACCCCAGCCAAAGGGCCAAGATGGTTGCCAGTGGCTGCCAGTTCCTGCTGACTAAACCTGAGACCAAGGGGGGGAAAAACCACATTTCCCCTGATTGCTGGCAAACATACTATTTTTATTGATGATTGTTAAGTAGAAAAATCATATAGTATGTGAGAAATTGTTAAATGTTGGGGCTCCTGGGCGGCTCAGGTGGTTAAGTGTCTGCCTTCGGCTCAGGTCATGATCCCGGGGTCCTGGGATCGAGCCCCACCCTGGGCTCCTGGCTCAGCAGGGAGCCTGCTTCTCCCTCTCCCACTCCCCCTGCTTGTGTTCCCTCTCTTGCTGTATCTCTCTCGGTCAAATAAATAAATAAAATCTTTAAAAAAAAAAAAAAGAAATTGTTAAGTGTTATGGGGGGAAGCATGATAAAGTAGATGAATGACTGCAAGGGCAAATGTGCAATTTTACATAGTGTGGACAGTAATACTGAACAGAGACCTGAAGGCAGTGACAGGGTGAGCCCTGAGAATATCTACAGGAAGAGCAGGTCAAGCAGAGGGAATGGCAAGTGCAAAGGCCCTGAGGTGAGCTCTTGCCTGGCAGGTGAAGGTGTGGGGAATATCAAGGAGGCTGGTGTGGCTGAAGGAGAGCAGCAGGGAGGTGATGAGGTTGGGGGTAGGGCAGAATGCAGGGCCTCGTGGGCCTTTGTGAGGACTTCCTTTTTACTCTGTGAGATGGGAACCCCTGAAGGATTTTGAGCAGAGAGAGGTGGGACATGCCTTATGTTTTAGGTGGAAAGAGATTTAATACCAGGAATTAGGTGCTTATAAAACCGTTGGAAGGGCCAGAGGAGCTGACTCTAGGCTAGGCCTCCTGAAACAACACAAATGAACTGCCTCCCTCTGCTTGGATCGGGGTAGGGGGACGGAATGAAGAGGCCCCACCCAAGTAGCTGAGCTGTGACCCAGGGGCAGGAGGCCCCTCTGCCTCTATACCTGCCTCTTGACCCCAGTAAAGCTGGTAACTGGACATTGTATGTGCTACAGAAAAACCCGAGTCCCCACAGCCCACACAGCAATATTTCCCTCTCCTTGCTTCCTCCAAATTTCACTCTTTCTTTGGTGGGACCTAATTCACATCCAAAACTGTGTAGGGAATGGGAATTGGAGGGGGGGCACATTTCAGCAGGTACTGCACTGTTGGAAGTATATTGCCATGTACTTGTCTGCCCCCCACCGGCCCAAAGTATACCACTTGAAGACTGGGAATGTAGCTACCTAGTTCAAGGCCACATCCCTGGTGCCTCTCTTGGTGCCTGGAGGGATCCATCTGGCCGGGCTGGGAGAAAGCAGCAAGCCCACCGAACCTGGGAATAGAAAGCAGAATACCAATCTGTTTCATCTCCCTGAGCCTCAGTTTTGACACCTGTATGATGGGGGCAACAGCATTACTGACCTGGGAGGGGTATTGAGGGATCTGAGAACACATATGCATTTAGTATGTGCTCATAAACTCCTTTTCCTCGGGGTTTTCTGAGGCTAGAGAGGAGCGGGGCTTTCCTGGGTTTCAGCCCTGAAGAAGAAAGCTGACAAAGTCCATGCAGCGTGGGTAGCTAGCTCAGCGCATTGGGGTGCCTGCCTCCTGGGCCTTCCAATTCATTGGAGAGGTTTTCCCTTGAAAGTTGGAAGCAGAAGAGGCTCTCCTCCCATTCTAGGCCGGCCAGGCCTCCTGGCAGCAGAACTTGGGGTCAGCAGGGCCTGGAGACCTGACCCTGCCAGATGACCAGATGCTCTAAGTAGCTGGGTGACTCTCCGAGAGAGTGGTCAAACACTGTGCGCCAGGGTGACCCTATATTTGAGTTGTGTGGGTCTATCCTGGTTGATATGGCCCTGGGTCATTCCCGGGTGTACGCCCACTGTCTGGTCACGACTACTAAGTACCCCCTTTTACTCGTAAGTGTCCTGCTCGCCTATAATAGCTGGGCGTACCTATCCTATGATCCAAGAATTCCTTCCCTAGGCATGTACTCAGCAGAAATTTGCACATCTAATCACCAAGACATATTCTGGAACATTCACAGCGGTACTATTTGTAATAACCCCAAACCAGAGCCCATCCAAATGCCCTTCAACAGAATAGATACATAAACTGTGGCCCAGTCACACAACATAACTGTGCAGCAAGGAGAAGGAACATTCTGCAGCCACATGCCACCACATGGATGAAACTCAGACATAATGTTGAGCAAAGGAAACGAACTCAGGAGTATGTCACTTATGATTCCGTCCATACAATGTATGTAAAAGGGGAAAGTACAGGAAGCTCTTAGAAGTGGGGATGGTAGTACCTAAGGGGGGCTGGAGATGGTTTCTTGATCTGGGTGCTGGTGACACAAGGGTGTTCCCTCTATGAAGGTGCATTGAGGGGGCACCTAGGTGGCTCAGTCGGTTAAGCGTCTGCCTTTGGCTTGGGTCATGATCTCCGGGTCCTGGGATCGAGCCCTGCATCGAGGACTCTGCTTTTCCCGCTCCCTCTGTGATCTCTCTTGCTCTCACTCTCTCTCAAATAAAGTCTTTTTTTTTTTTTTTTAAATGCATTGGGGCACCTGGGTGGCTCAGATTGTAAAGCATCTGCCTTTGGCTCAGGTCATGATCCCAGGGTCCTGGGATGGAGCCCCACGTCTGGCCCCTGGCTCGGCGGGGAGCCTGCTTCTCCCTCGCCCTCTGCCTCTCGCCTGCTCACGCTCTCTCTCTCTCTGTATCTGTCTCAAATGAATAAATAAAATCTTAAAAAAAGAATGCATTGCGCTGACACAAGATTGTACATTTTCTGCATGTACACTTTTCATCAGTAAATGTTTACTTTAAAAATATCCTGGTTTGGGCAATAGGCTAAACTATTCTTGTTCCTCTTCTTCCCACCTCCTCCCATCTACCTTTCATGTTGGGCTGGACATAGAACATTATCAAACCTCATCCCTGGGACTTGCAGAAAACCTCGACTAACCCAAACACTACATGAAACCATTCACAGTGGTCTTTCTCTCGACTCTTCTAAAAGCTGTAGCTGACTCAGAAAATGTAAATTGAGAAGTAAATATGCTGACTGGAAAGATGTACTGAGACATGAATCCCTAGGGAAGGCTTAAGGGACACCCCAACCTACTACAACCTCTGCATTTCCAAGCTTGGACTGGGAGATTGTCAGGCTCCCACCACTTAGCGAGGCTGGGGAAGAACGAGCAAACATCAGGAAGAAGTGCAACAGCTGAGGGGAAAATGAGCTTAACCTTCAGCTGTCCTGTAATACAAAGTTGATCGGAACTCCCCATTCCTGTTGGGTTCCTCAAGTTCACTGGGTTGTCCTTGTGGAAACTGCGTAACCCAACTCTGACAATAAGAAAATATTTCATGTGGGGAAGACCAGTTCTGACGTGACCAATTCCCCTGGGATTCCTCAGGCCTTAACCAACCAGGTTGATGCCCCAGGCCTAGAATAGCTCTTTCTTCCTGCATGCTCCCCATAGCTCCCACTTATCCAAATGCCATCATGGCCAGCTCAAGGCTTGCTCCAGCCCATCTCCTCCAGCAGACTAACTTCCCTGACTACCCTGAGTTCCCATCCTCTCTCCCTCTGTAGCATCTACTGAGCCTCTGTTTAAGGGCCTGACCCCCTCGTCTTAAGTTTCAAGAGCCCAGGGAACTTTACTTTGTTCACTGCTTGTACCCTAAGAGTTTGGACCAGTTCTTGGTACACAGTAGGCCCTCAGTAGGTACTGAATGAATGAATGAATGAATGCACGCATTCTGCCTCATGGCATCGCCTGGATTGCTCCTCCACTTTCTCTGGTGTGTTCCTGGTTCTGATTCCTCTAAATACGAAACTTGCTGGAGCAGAGACTGTATCTTATTTATCTCTTTTTCTCTCTACCACTCACCCTGCTGCTTAATACTTAATGAAGGAGGAAGGAAAGGAAAGGAAGGGAATTCAGGGCATCTCTAATCCAGAAAGCATGGAGGTCAGTGGGTAGTTAGGTGGATTACAAGGGTGTGGGTAATCCTGAAGAGAAGCAAGCTACCATATTTGCCCACAAATGTATTTATACCTGCCTCCTTCCAGAGAGGATTTGAGGTGGCTTACAAAAATACGCGTAGTACAAGGTAAAAAAACAAGTCGGTGAGAAAATCAGGACGAGGGGAAAAATAAGAGTAGGAAAAATAAGATCAAGTCGGCTTGTTAGAAGTGGGCCAAAAAGTTGGCCAAGTTTTCCCACAGCCCCTGGAGGCTGAAGTCCCTCTCCCTTCCCCACCTCCCTCTGGGAAGGCCACAGGACACAAGCCACGAGCGCAAGGCAGAGCGGCCCCAGGTAAGCTGCGTCCTGGGAAGGGGCCTACCAGGACCCTTCCCACGCCTCCCAGGCCGTCAGCCCCGGAGCTCGGGCCCGGCAGCCCAGGCGGCCTCGGGGAGGGCTGTGTCCGAGGGGCGCGCGGTTCTGTGAGGGCTATCCCCGGGCCAGACATGGGGGCCCGGCTTGCTGGCGGGGAACCGTGACCTGAGGGGAGTAGGGCAAGAACTGAAGGCTCGTTCCTCCACTCAACGCTGCAAAGGTTCTCGAGCTAACTCAATGCCTCCAGCCAACTCAACTCGCGGCCTACTAAGCGCGCGCCCGGCACGCAGGGCACAAAGATGGAGGGAGCGGCGCGCCTTCCACCCCGCCCCACCCCCACCCCCCGGCTCCAGACAAAGGGGCAGGCCGCCCCTCCCCCAGCCTCTCCCTGGCGTTCCCCTCCACCCTCCTCTCCCCTCCGGCCGCCCTTCGGTGACTTCCTTTCCCCTCCAGGGGCAGCTTGGGCACTTCGCAGGAACTGCGTTTCACCTGGGCGCGGGGCGGGGAGCCAGCGCGCGGAGGGCGGCCTCCCGGCCCACCCCGAGCCCCGGCCCCGGCCGGCCCCAGGCCCGCGCCCTCCTCTTTGAGCCCGCTCCGAGGGCCCCCAGCGCCTTCCCGCCCAGGCGCCCCCGCCCCCACCCGGCCGAGCACGTGCTGCCCCCGGCCCGGAGCGCCAGCCCGCCGCCCCGGGTGGGGGCTGGGCCCACTCCCGGCTCTGCTCCCCACCCCCACCGGAAACATTCCTGAAACATTCCTGAAAGTAGGAGGCCCGGCCCCTCCGGTTCCCCCACCCCGCCTCCACTCCGGGCTCAGGGTTTTCCTGGCGTCCCCCTCCATCGGCGGCTCGCCCGTTGAGGAGGGGGCTGGGCCGGGGCTTCGGCCGACCGGGGAGGAAGAAGGGGAGCAAAGAAAAACATGAGTCACAGCCGTGTGTCACTGGGCCGCATTGCATTTCCCTGCATCACGGGAGGTGTGGAAGGCCGCCTCGGGGACCAGGGGCGGGGAGGTGCGCCCGAAAAGGCCCCGGGCCCGGCCTGCAGGGCGCGCCGCTCTAGACAGCCCCCTTTCTTCTCCCACCGCCCTCCCCGCCATCTTTCCACTTTGGCTTCCTTCTCATTCGTGCAACAAGTCTTTGTTGCGCCAGGCGCCGGGCGGGCCAGGCGTGGCGGGTATGGCTTGCGTAGACCAGTCCCTGCCCTCAAAGTGCTTCCAGGCGACCAATGGCTCACGCTTTCTTATTTTTCTTAAAAGTCACAGCGAAGAGGGCCAGGGCACAAAGTGGGAAGGCATCTCCCAAGACACCATCCAGGTCACCTATAGGAATGAATCCACCCTCAGGTTTACCTGCAAGCGAGCCAATCGTTTGTTTCGCTTGGAGGCTGCACCTTGACTACGGCTCACTCGCGGCCATTAGTGAGCGAAAACTCTGGATTTCACAAGTTTCACGTTTGAATTTCACAAGACTTGTATTTCACCAGTCAGCCACACGCAGGCTGGCACTGAAATGCACATGCTGACACCTGTCCGCCCAGGGGAAATCTACGAGGCGCCTAGCTGGGCGCAGGGGGCGGCGGGTAGGCCGCGGAATTCTCACAGGCGCCTCTCTCTCCACCCCCTCCCGCCCGCGCGGACCCCGCAGGCACGAACGCCCGCCCACATCCAACGCGCTCCGCGGGCGTCAAACCCATACGCCCGGAAGGCCCCTAGAGGTGACTCTCCCGGGGACCCCCCCTTCCGTTGCAGGCTGTAAGGATATCCTCCCCTCCCCATCCTCCGCGAAAAGCTCCCCGGTGCTCCCCCTCTGTGCACCTTCCCATGTCTCCCGGCCCGGGACAGTGGGGAGTGGGCCGTCGCCTCGGGTTCCCAGCCCAGGCCTCCCGCGCACCCGCCCCCAGGCACCCGGTCCCGCACGCCCCTCCCCGTAGTCAGCACCCACCCGCGCGGCGGCGGCGGCTGGCGGGCGGCCGCCCTTTTAAATCCCCGGGCTCATTTGCATGGCCCCGCCCCCACAGTGACACGGCTGGCGCGGGCGGGCCCGTCCCCTCTGCCCCTGGGTCGCTCTTTTTAAGCTCCCCTGAGCCGGGGCTGCGCTCCTCTAATTGGGACTCCGAGCCCGGGCTATTTCTGGCGCTGGCGCGGCTCCAAGAAGGCGTGAGTTCGCGGCCCCTCCGGTGGCTTCTTTTTTTTTATATCTACCATTTAATTAAATTATTTATTTCTTGAGGCCGCGCACGGGCCGTGCCTAGCTTCCTGCCCCTCGCCATCCTTCGGGGGAGGGTGAATATTTTTGTCCCCCCGCCTGGATGTGACAGATAAATACCCCGCGGGGGCCTGGGCGGCGAGCACGCGGCGGCGGCGGTCTCTGAGCGCCTCTGCTCTCTCTCCTGGTTTCAGATCCGCATTTGCTACCAGCGGCGGCGGAGCCAGGCCGGTCCTCAGCGCCCAGCACCGTCGCTCCCGGCAGCCCGGAGCGCGCACCGCAGGCCGGCGGCCGAGCTCGCGGTGAGTCGTCCCCGGGGCCCGCGGCGGCGGCGGCGGAGGGGGGCGCCCGCGCCCCCGCCTGCACGCCGCCCCTCCTGCAAGCCGCCCAGGGCTGCAGCGCGCGCCTCCGGCTTTATTCCCAGGCCGGGGCTGCGCGAGCCGCCGGCGGGGGAGGGCCGCGCGGCGCGGGGGCGGGTGGCGGGGCCCGGCGGCGCGGGGAGGGCGCCCGCACCCCTTCCCCCGCGCCGCGGGCGCCCTGCGGGGGGGCGGGGACCCGGGAAAGGCGCGCGGTGGGGGAGGGGGCGCGCGGCTGCGGCGAGCGCGAGTTGTGCACCCGGCGGAGCCCGGTGCACCTCGCGCGGCCGCCGCTCCCGCCGCAGCCCGAGCCCGAGCAGGGGCCCGGGCTGTGGGGGGGGCGGCGGGGAGAGGAACAGGCTGCGGCGCAGCTGGCGAGTGGGGGGCCGGCGCCCCCCAGCCTGGGGAAGTTCTAGAAGTGAGGGGGATGGGCAGGAACCCCACAATTCGGCCCTGTTCCCGCTCGGCCTTTTTCCCGGTGTCCCCCCTACGCAGATGAGGCCGAATCGCGGGCCTGGGTTTGGGGCTTCACCCCGACCCCACCTCTGGCCCGGCCCGCGCCTCTTCAGCCCCCAGGGCCGGGCCTGCCCTCCGCCCCCACAAACAGGTTTCTCTGCTTTGCAGGGCTCTGTTGGAACTAGTCCCTTTGACTCCCCGTTTCAATTTTTTTTTTTTCTGGGGCTTTATTTTGCGGGGAGGGCGCGGAGGGAGGTGGCTTTCTTCCTCTACCCCGCGCCCGCGCGCGCCAGGTTTCCTGCCCCAAGGCGGGCTTGGGTGCCCCCTCTGGCAGGAAGTGGGGCCGGGTGCACCCGCGTGGCGGTGCATGCGGTCGGGGTGCACCAGTTTCCCGCGCCTGCAAGAGCAGCCCGTGCCCCTCCCCCCGCGCGCTCTGGCCCCTAGTCCCGCCGGCCGCCCTGCAACGGCCCGGCGCAGACACTTGCAGAGTCACCCTGGGGCCGGTCTGGAGCAGGGGGCGACAGGCACTTAACCAGGCTCCCGGCGGTTAAGGAAAGTGGCGGGCTAGAGGGGTCGCCAGTAATTTACGCTATCCTGCTCGCCAACTTGCTGTGTGACCTTGGGCAACTTATCAGGCCTCTCTGGGCTACTTTTTTCCGGAAAACAAGGAAGCACCATGATGATTTCCTAGGGTCGTTCTCGTGGACTCCCTAAGCATTTGAGGAATACACATTGCATGCACGGTGTACGGAGGGGACAAGCTTGAGGCCCAGAAGGGCTTATTACAAACAAGGATTCAGGTCGGGCCCTAAACATGGCTTCGCCTAGCCAGGCCTCTGATACTCAGAAACAGGTGGAAGAGACAAGCATTTGTTGGTCTCACCAGAGAGGGCCTCAGGCCTTCACTCCGTTCCTGGAGGCCTGGATGAAAGGGGGGTCGGAGAGTGAATTAAAGGGTTCCCAGTAGTAAGAGGTGGGGGGAAGCTCCAGATGATGCAAGAACTTTCCCGGAGACCCATCAGGATTCCCAGGCATGCTGGGCCAGGCTCTCTGGGATTAGGGGCTAGCTTGGCCCAGCTGGAACCCCCTCTGTGAGGGGGCCTTCAGCAGACCTCATGTGAGGTCAGCACTCATTTCGGCTGATTAATTTTGATGTTTAGTTTGAACGGGAACCTGTGGTGTAATAGAAGATTCTAATCACTGCCTGTAATTACAGAGCAGGCCGAGCCACTAATGACGGGGCAGGGTAAATCACCAACCACCTTGTTCAAAAGGGTCTTCAACTCTGAAATATTGTAAAATAGAATCGTTACCAGACAAAGTCTCGCCGTCTGGAGAATCTTGATGCTTGAGGCTGGGGGCCTCGAGCCCTCCAAAAGTCACAAGTTTGGAAAAAAAAAACAAAAAACAAACTTTTTTTTCCTCTCGCTGAGTTAAAATTGGAAATTGTCTGAAAATCTGAAAAGGGGAAAGAAAAGTCATTTTCGAACGTTCTAGTTCTCATTTTGATTGGAGTGAGGACTTCCTGTTGTGGACATATTTTCACTATGAACTGGTTTGATCCTTGGCATCAGTGTGGAAAGGTGGTTGAGGGAGATGTCTTAGCCTTACCCCCATTTTACAGATTGAAGGTCTTTTAGAAGTGAAGCCGCTTGGGCCCACCCTTTCCCAAGAGCAACCAGGGATTGGTTACCAGGGAGGTGTGGAGCCATGGGTCTCTCAGGTCTTGTGGCTCTGCAACTGGGAAGACAAAGGGGGATTGGACCGGGTGGGGGGAAGACCGTCACTGTCTTTTAAGCTTCTGGAAGAGGCTCCCAAATATGGGGTGCCAGGTGCTCCTTGCAGTGGGAGGTTTTAGGTAAACTCAAAATTAGCGGGGCTGATTAAACCCAAAACAGCCTTTAAGAAGAGGGAAGATGCTAGAAAAGAACCAAGAAGCTTTGAGGACCAGCCCTGCCAGGTAGGGGAGGGCAGCTAGCATCTGTTAGAAGGATTTCAGTGGAGAAATTCTGTCCCTCCTGAAAGCAGGCACTAAAGGGGAAGATCTCATTTGACCCCAGGTGGTGGGTGGGGTAGGGGAAAGGGGAGACCCACCTTTCAGCTTTGGGTTTGTTTTCCTCCCTCCACTACAATTTCAACCATCTTCCCCCTTCCCAAAACTATTGCCAGCCTTGAATCCCCAAAGCTCTACCCCAGGGAGAGAGCGGAGAGGAGAGCTAACTGGTGGGATGGGCACCAACCCGGGCCAGGTCATTGGTGTGGAGCGTCAAGGTTGGCCCTGTAGCAT